TCTCTTTTTTAAAAACGTCCCCACTCTTCATATTGTACAACATCTAAACATTTCCACACCTTGTTTACCTCTCTTTCTGTCGAAGAATTTGAAAGAACCCTCAACCGCTTATGGGATTTGATATTCACAATCTGCTTTCATAGCAGCAGCGGATAGCCCGCATGGAGAGATTAACCTCGACCTCACGGAGTCGTGGAGAACACGTTGTCTTTTCAGGGTCACGCTCTCCGGGCCAAGGTCAAAGCAATGTTCCTTGCAGATTTATATTTTGCTTGGAAACAAGAATGTTATCGTTCAGCACACAGATATGCAGCCAAGCAGAAAGTGCTCCCTGGCATGTGGAGCTAAATATTATTCTGAAGCATTTCCTTGCTAAATATTTGTCTTTGGCACTGCTTGTAGGAAGTAAATTGTGCCACCCAAGTGCTGGAAGAAATTAATTAAATGTCGTCTACACTGCATATCGGAGCGCAATGAAAAAGTGAGTTAAAAACTACACTTTTAGGTAGTGTTTGAAGTCCAAATCAAAGGAGAATTAGATTTGAAAATCTCCCTCATCTCCTCACATCTCAACTCCCTCTCCTCTGCCCTGTACAGTTAACTAGACACACACACAAACACATTATGTCTTTGTCTGATTCCAGTCACCCCGCCATGTTGATCGCTAATCCGCTTCCTACCACACTATAGCCGTGACCAATGGTGGCCTTTCATGTTGCAAAGCGGTCAGTCACACCTAACAGGATTGGCTGGTCGTAGCCAGGGATGCCGAGGCTATTAGTGATTATGATAAAGGGTGACATTTGTGATTTTCTGTTTGTGTGTGTGTGTGGCAGGGTCTGCCTGGACTCTTGCTTGTGTGACCTAGATTGTGTGTAGAGCTGAATGTGAAATGAGATGTGATGTTTGGGGACAAGAGATTATACAGAAGGGGACAAAAACAAGGCTGGTGATGTCAAGGACGTATTGAATCAGGGTCAATAATCTCCATACCCCATGACACACACACACACACACACACACACACACACACACACACACCACACACACAGGGAGGAGAGTGTGAGATGGAAATGAAAGTGCTTGTTGTATCTTGAATAATGAAGGTGACTGTGTCTGATACTGAAAAGACAAACGTTTGAAACGTATTTGTTTATTTTAATCTTTATTTAAACATGTGCCAAAGGGGGGTTTAGATAAAGTGCTGCCTTGGATGATGGAGTAATAACTGATCATTTGATAAACTGATGATTTCAGACACATTTAGTTAACGCCTCCCTCTGTGATCACAATTATTCTATAATGTTGCCTCAAAATATGTGCTTAGGATCCCCTGGTGGAGATGAAAGTGATTAAACAGCGGTAATTCCCCAAAGTGCTAAATTATCATCGCGACTCTGATTGGATAATGAAATGTTTTCAGCATTAAAGCGGCCCCAGAGAGCTGGCAGACGAGGTGAGCTACTTAATGCATATAAACACATCAGTAGTGGGATGAATATAAATATATATGCTGCAAAGAGAGTCATGCAACAAGTTAACTTCAAAGTAGACACCGCCAAAGTATCCGTCTTATCAAGTTATGCTCGTGCCGTATTTTGAATCATTTGCAATCCAATTTTGTGCAGAATATTTGTTTTAATGTTATTATTGACACCTGTTTTTGTATCTCTTTCTGTTTATTTAATTGATTTACTATTTACATTATTTGTGTGTATTTTATTTATTTATCATTCTTAACATTATTGTTGTGCATTTCATAATTTTAAAATGTTTCTTTAGATTTTTTGAATGTAATTTTCAATTGATGTATTATTCTTTACATTACGTAGATGTTGTTGTTTTCTTGATTCTATTCATTTAAAGAAATGTAACTTGTTGAAATACTTAATATAAAGTGTTCAAATCCCCAGTCAAAATGAAATTGCTCTTTGGAAGAGGGTTTTTATGGAGCTAAGAATAAGAAAATAAGGTCTCAATTATGGAGAGACACATCTTGATGATATAGGAACTTTCGTAAGAGTTGCTGTTGAGTGGAATTTCCTTTGAAAGCTGCTTCTCTGCACATGTGACCTCCGTTTAACCTGAGCATGTCTACAATGACCCTGCTTCATAGAGCACCTTCATACCAAAACACCCACCATATGGACGGCTTTAGAATATGCTTACAATTACACAGGCTTTTGAAGCGTGCATTTTTGGAGTATGACTTTTCAGAGTGAAGTGAGACTCGACATGATCTCTGTTTACATTAAATCTGAAGGGAAGGAATGTCAAAAAAACACACATACGATGATTTTGAGTTTGAGAGGCCCCTCGAGTGGCAGATCTTCCAAAAGGATGTGACTTTTTGAACATCTGCCGGTCTGCAGCAGATTACCCCAAAAGCCTTGATGCATATCAAATGGCTGCGACATAGCTTCAAACTCACAATCTGGTGTGGGAAATGACTAACACCGAGCTGCGTGTGGCACCTGTGAAGGTTGTTTGTCAGGGCTGTTGGTTCCAAAGGGAAAGCTGTAAAAGGTCGTGTTTTTATCAAATCATTCAAAGGATGTGAGCTTTGTTTGTCAAGTTGGAGGACAGTCTTCAATGCAGAGTGGTGAGTTTTGTGAGGAAGTTATGTGAGTTAAGGGTTACACTTTGTAATATGACACAAAAGGCAACTTTTTAGCACTAAAAAAGCAAACAAATGTAGATATATACGACAAATGGCACCAGAAACACGCCTACTACAGCACACTGTAGGAAAAAAACTTTGAGGAATCACTTATCCTCACCACAGGACTGCGCACGCTGCCAAGTCCCACAAAACCGATTTTTACTCATTGTCACAAGTTTCCATGGCAATATTGCACTCTCATCTTATGCGGTTGGTGATTAAAGAACGCACTGGGGTGAATAAAATGAACTGAACTAGAGTGGAAGTAGGGGGGGAGGAAGAGAGGGAAAAAGTATTCCAGTCTGTCTTTGTCCTTTTCTTTTTTTGAAGGATGTTTAGATAGCAATTAGCAGTTATCCCCTCCAGCGTCTGAGGTGGGAGACTGCTGACACTTTGAAGATCAAATTAACCAATTAGGGGGAGATAAGAGTCTGAGTTACACCTCCCCATTTTAACATGTAGTGAGATAGCAGGATATTTAGAGGGCAACATGGGGGCTAATGCTATCAGCAACCAACAACAAGGTTTTTTTTTGTTCTCGTGATTACGGCAACAACACCCAAGAGGGCACCTTTCCCCCTACCAAGCCTAAACAAAGTGACCCCCACTCAGGAAGAGCCATGACGATACAGCCAGGGCTATATTTGTCTACGTGGTTCCCACAGTCAATCTTCAGGTTTAAAAACAGAATGATCCGAGAGCTGAGATGATTGCACGCCCAGGCTGACAATGACACTAAAAAGTGTCGGGGGAAACAGGAAAAGAAACGGCCAACAATACTATTGTTGCTATATCGGTCGGTGTAGTGACAACTACCAACAAAACATCAGACATAGCCTTCCTTGTCTCTGTTTGTCAAAACAAATGTGGGATGCATGTGGCAACCTGCAAGCTTTTTATTATTTAAAAAACTTTGTTTAAGACCCATATGTGATCTAAACACTCGCTGTAGGTCAAATCTGTTTAATTTTGCGACAGATTTGAGACTTTTCATGTACTTTTAGTACAGAATGTTGCATTATTTTGGACTGAAATCTTAAGAAGTTGCTACAAAAGTTGCACAAGTTTATTTTAATCGCATCCTCCCTTAAATTAGTCCCTTAAACCACAGTCCCAGTATAGTGGCCTCCCTTCCTTCAGTTTCTCATTGTCCGACAGATCGAACACTGAACCTGGATTTCCTTGATCTGTGTGACCCGGAGCAGGTGGACAGGGATCAGTAGTAGTAGCACTGAGCCTGTGGCAGCCAGCTGTCACACACACACACACACACACACACACACACACACACACACACACACACACACACACACACACACACACACACACATGCTTCAGCGTCCGCAAGACGCATGCACACACACTTGCATAGTTACTGTACACTCATAAACACGCCTCAGCACACGGGAGAGGCTGTGCAACTGAATAATCTGACATCTGGGTGGTTCATTTCAACTGACGGAGTGAAGAATGACATGCAGAGTGTATAGCATGTGGATGTATGAGCATAACGCTGTGTTACATTCACATACACATTGAAAACATTAGAAACAACTTTCCCCTTTAATTGTTAAATAACACTGTCAGACATGCTGCCTCTTAAGTGCATAAAAGACCATTCAGGACCTTTTAAAGTCATGCACACACACACACAGCACTCTGAAGTACACACACATTTTAAGCATCCCTCAAGGCGCTGTCTTCCATCTTTATGTATCTTGGGCTTTAAGCAAGCACCAAAACACAGTGACTCCTTGAAATTAGGTCACGCAAAACAGACTCTCATACGACCTAGACCCCAACCCCCACCCCGCCACCATCACACACATAATTGGAAGTGTGTGTTGGGTCAATATCTGAAAGTGTCACAATCCATACCAGTGAATCTTCAATTTTCACTCAAACACAACCATTTCCAAAAATCCAAACAATTCAGCATCAAGCTAAGTTATTACACTTTTCAGGGAATAAACATGGAGGATAAAACAGAAAATTAAAGTTCTTTACATAACTAAACTTGCTCTGAACTCCAGGACTCATTCATAACTCATTGTTAAAAATCTACATTTGGTTACTACAGAAGTTTCTCCCTGACCATGATACAGATGGCTCCACAGCTTTCAGCCACTGCTCTATCATTATCATTCCTGTATTGCTGGCACTCAAAGGTCCCATTCCTCATTCCCACTGAGAATAAAACCTGAGACGGAGGGTGAAAGCATGCGGGAATCCCCCAGGGACACACACACTTAAGTAAACTAAAAAAGCACACAAACTCCCCCAGAGACAGGCCCTGTGTACAGTCTGCGAAAGGACACAAAAACAAGCTTCCTCTTACCTTCCACATGATTAAAATCCTCCACAAACAAAGTGAAAACAGAGAGGGAGAGAGGAGGCTATATTTGGCTCTCTCTCTGCTCTGTGGGACGCAGCAGACGCAGTGGCGAGCGGAGAACCTGGGAGCCAGCGAGGATGTGGATCTGTCTCCGTGGCTGTGTCATCACCTCTCATGACATGTTTCCTCCCCTGCCTGTGTAAGCCTTTCCATCCTGACCCGGCAGGGAGAGAGAAAGAGAGAGGGAGAGAGCAAACCACCCCCCTCTCTATCTCCCCTCCTCCTCCTCCTCCTCCTCCTCATGTCCATCCCTCCCTCTCTGTGTCCCTGTATTCAAATATGCCAGTAGGCTGCCCTGCCTTTAAGTAGGCCAATCACTGAGCCACCGGGGGCGGAGTCTGGCCCGGCTGTGTGCAAGTGTGTGAGTTTGCAGCCATACGTGAGTAAGTGTGTGTGCATGTCCTTGCTTAAACACTGGCTTGCATGCATATGTGGACACGTGTGTGTACACATCCAAAGCCAGCTTACATCATGCTTCGATTAAAAGGACCTCACCGTGATCTGAACGCCTTGTACCGCTGTGGCTCAAATCTGCCGTTGTGTTTTATGCCCAGCAGGAACAAATAAAGCACAGCCCCTCCCCAAGTCCTCCCATTCAGTTCAGTGAAATTCAAGCATGTCTTTCCTGTTTTGGTGCGATCTCATCTAGTTGAACTTTTCCAGCAGTTGCAGAGATACTCGTGCATGCTGTTCGCAATTTGAAATGGCTCTGCTCTGTATGCATTACCCACATTGGAGCCATGACATCCATTTTCCGTGTAGAGGGTGGGACAATTCTGTCGAACAGAAGGCTCGTGTCACATCTTTAAAAAGGCTGGGTTGAAAAACACTACTGGGGTGGAAATGACCTGCTATAAGGGTGGATTTAGAATCATTCTCGCCCTTGATAAATACAAAAAGAGAGTCATCAAAGACATACTAACAATTTTCCGATTTGTCAAAAGTGTTCACGCCAATGCAAGTTGTTCACAGACGTGAAACATACATTTTTATAAAAGCTCAAGCCGAAGTTGGATTTATATCACCACAAAAACCAATGACAGCAACTCCCAACTGTCTATATAATAAGCCTCTTTCAAGTGGATGGATCTCTGCAGTTGAAGGTATTCAACTATTTTGAGATGTTACTGTATCCTTCATCTGCCTCCACTTTTGCGTCCGTGACACGTCCCCAGCATCAATTCAGTCTCTGTAATTTTGAATGTCCCTCCCCTGTCTCCCATTCTACCTTGAAACCTCAGCTGTTTTGGCTGCTTCTCGTTAAAAAAAAACAACCCCCTTTCTTTATGCGGCCCACAAGGAAAGCAGCTTAAATTAATCTCTAGTCAGTCATTCAGCCTCCCACACAAAGCACTCTGCCCTGCCAAACTGAGTGCAAAGTCTGATCAGCAGTCCTCAGCTATCTCGCTCCAAACGATACCTCACGGTCATGTCTGATTCACGCAGGATGCTGCTCTTAGTCCTGCCAATTGTGCATAACGGAAACAAGCGTGAAGCCAAACAAAGAATTGTCAGAGCTAACCATTATTTAGGACTTTATAGAGTGTGTGTGTTGGGTTAGAAATGGGACTCGAAGCTTTGAAATCTGTTCGTTGGTCGCTAGATCCCAAATAATCCCCAACATTTTGCCGTTGGGAAGTGAGTCATGTAGTTGGACGTTTAGAACATTGCAGAGGACTATGGGTTAACTCCATACTGTATCCTAGAATGCAGGATCCTATAGAGGTTTTTGGAAAACAAAGACGTTTTATTACATTTAAACAGTTTGTTTAGGTTTGATTCGTTTTAGAAAGTGTTTCCAAACTTGAATGCACCTTTTAATAGATATAGATAAAGTGCTTTAGACGACGTGTAAGGTCAATTTAAAGTTATTTTTGATTAAGTGAATACATGTAGTCTTCTTAGATCTCCCTAATTCCATTGATTTCCATTGATCATGGTTATTAGCAGTGGTGTGGATGCTATTTATTGTTAACTTGTATCATGGGTGGACTGTTAGTATCCTTTGTGCGACGCAGTGTGTGCCTACAATAGGTCCATGTACAGATTTGGTGTGTGTGTGTGCTGTGGCGGGGATTGTGGTGGTGTGTGTCTGGCAGTTGGAGTGGGATCAGTCGAGGTGAGGCTGCTTCTTAAGAATGCACTTCTGGAAAAGGACAAGGAAAAAGTTTCCAACTCGGGTCAGTTCCCTGCGAGAGTAAGACCACTGGCTTTGTGAACACTGCTAGATCCCCAAGAAGGGGATATATAAGATATATATAAAATATAAGCACACACACTAGTCTATTCTATAAGATTATTATGATGGATGGATCTGAAAGGCTGAATTCATTAACAACATTTGTAGTTTGTAACTTGATATTTGTGTGCTTGCTTTTGAATTACTAGAAATTAAATTAATTATAATTGTAGTTTACTCAGTGTTAGTTTTACAACAGCTGCAAGGCAAAGGCAAGTATAATCAAAAATCACTAGTTGGTAAGATGTGTCTTTATGCATCGTGTTCTGCTATAGAGATATGTTTACAAGTAACACAAAATGGGTGGAGGCCTTTTTCAAGAATGTGTATGTCTCCTTACTTTCCATGTTGAATGCTATCCTTTTAAGGATGATGTCATTAAGATCTGGGAAGAGACACCACACAAATACAGTATTTGCACTAAGTTTGGTGACCCTATTAGCACAGCAGTAAGCATGTGGAAATAAAACTCAACTCTTTGGAAGTTGGAGACCTTGTACATGTCTCTCTTGTAAGTTTATTTTTTGTTTAATCCCAATGGGACTTCCTGGTACCATAAGCTTGAATAAAACGTGTTTTCCTGCAGGGAGACAGCTATGCACACACAAAGTAGATATAGATACTGCAAAGTGGTTACATTTCCCCAAAGTTGGAGGTTATCCAGCAGCACTCTTCAGAATTAAAGCACACAGATGCAAAGCCTCTTCATTCATTCAAGTCTCATCAGCCTCCGTACTACCGCAAAGTCGAGTTTTTCACCTTGAACTACATGTTCCCGCCTTGCTCCGGGTGATATTTCAGTTTTAGCTTCAAATGACATTGTGCGAGTTACAGACAGAGGGTATTGAGTTCAGCCGTAATCACAATGGACAACTTTTTTTATTTTTGAGGAGAAAATGTACATTGATAAATTGAAGCCAAAAGAAAACGTAATACCAGGAAGATGATGTTGCAGTTATTTGGCATACTTTATCATGATTTTCACTTGAAATGGCACAAGATAAATCAAGCAAAGAGATGATAAAACAGGCTGTAAAACAAAAGCTCAGCTATGGAAACAAGCCTCTTTGAAACTACTTTTTTATTGTTTGCTTTACATAAACTGCTTTGTGTGCAATGCGGGGGGGGAAAACCTCCTCTTGCTTTTGATTCCCAACCTCCCAATGACCACTCTGTTAGTTTAGGAAAGCTGGTCTCGGCTGACTTTAAAGAGGTCTTATTTTTAACAACCAGGAATGAGTGGAATGTGGTGGAGTCCGTCTCTTCTCTCGGGGTGAGACCATTTCAGGGATAAAGCAAGACAGGGTTACGACCAGGACCTTTGGAGAGGTCACCGACGCTGTGGGTAGTCTGGGATTGTGGGATTTTACATCACACGTGTGCAAATAGACACGTGACCACAACACACAGGGTTTAGTCAGTCCCCAACACAGGGTTTAGTCAGTCCCCTCTAGGTTTAATTTGTGCAAAAGGACACATCGATGCATATGAGCATTACTTACACATATCCATGAGCTCCATCTTCAAGAGGCATCTTTACGATTTAGATATACAGTGTCTTAAAACCCCTCCCAGTTGCTGATCACTATCTTGGACAGTACATTAGATATGCATTCATTTTTGCATGACTCATGGGAGGCTGGGAGCCGGTCTTGCATACATTTGAGTGCTTTAGTGTCTCCCTTTGGCGCCCTGACTAAACATTTTTTTTACTCATTTAAAGTTAGTCAAAGTTTGGGCACTTTCGTGAAATGCAAAACAGATCTACCCTCTCACTGACCTCTGGCCTTTTGAACTAAGTTGACATGCGGGCAGTAAAGCATGGCTTCAATCAGAGAGGAGAAGATGCAGCTGGTGCCAGCCGGACAGAGACTCTGCGGCTTTAGATTATGTTGTAGAGTCTGCGAGATATCTGTTTCTGTCAAGTGAAATCAGGGAGTAAACTGATCTAATCAGGGACAAACTAATACAGAAAGGCCCCCGAAAACAGGTTTAAGAGAGGAACAGAGGGGGAGGGGGAGCCATGCAGATAGATGAAGAGATACAGAGGGGGGAGCAGGAGATAAAGTCGTGATAAACATCAAATAACGCTGCACTACTTCCTCTGAAGTGGATGTTTTTGGTAGAAGAGAAGTGATAAAAAGTAAATGGATTTACTAGGAGTCACTTTAATTAGTGTAGTTTTGGTGAACTGACCCTTTAAATGTGCCCACTAGGAGTAAGTTGCAAGCACAGAAGAGACCACTCATTATGACTGAGAGTAACGCGTTTATTAGGTGATTCAACAGACTTGAAATGAGGATTCTGAAGTGTGTGTGTGTGTGTAATCATGTCCATCTGTGTACGTGAACTGTCCGTCAAACCTGGCAAACATTCCCTCCGGTGATTCAAGAGTACAGAACATGAGATTCTCTTAAGAAAAGGAAGCATTGTGCAGATTATTTCAAATGCCATTGTGAGTCAGACAATTCAAAAAAGGTCAGGCGTTCAACGGAAATATTTTGATTCACTGCTGTTTGTGAATATAACAACGAACATGAGTCAATTGAGTTCAAAGTGAGTAATGATAAACTGAATCTTCACTCTGCCGGCTCATTTTGAATAGGACATCAAAGTGGATGTGATAAAAACAGCATCCTCCAAAGCGATAAAGAAGAGCCATTTCCTGTCACATTTTATGACAAAGCTGAGAGCATCCAGTAGCCATTTTTGGACATGATGCATGCATACCAACAACCACACACACTCTCACACACAC